ATTCAGTTCGTTATTTAAGGGATGGCAAAGAACGTTTGGATTTCAGTAAACGTAAATCGGTTTAGCTGAGCCATCATGGACATTCAAACATCTGACAATGCAATTAAACACTTAAGTTAATGTAACTTGCGTTCACACACAGAAAAATTTCACCTTTGATCAATCGTAGCTTAAAAGGCACGCAAATGTAAGTGAAACGGATTGTTTGCAATTTAAAAGGAATAAGGGATGGCAGAGGTGTATGTCCCGATTGAATGCGTAAATAGGCGAGTTTGATTTATTCAGCAATTACATATGTTGAAGGGTGATTTCAATTTGCTCAAAAACGAACACTGCACTCATTACTTCATGTACATATACTAAGAGAAAATGCTTGGGGAACTTCTATCAATCAGAGATGATTGATACACTGATGTGAAATATTACCAACAGTACTTATGAAGTAATGGACTAATGCTTCGAAACAAAACCTAAGCAGCCAATTTTAATATGATACGAAGGTTTAATACACATACTTGTCTACACTCACCGTTACAGCAAAAGATGAAACCGTGACAAACGTGGCTCCAAGAACAACCAGCTTCCACACAGTGGTCATTTTCAAAACCTTGGAAGTAAAGTCTTTGAAGGGAAAAAATTGGCTTGTTATACTCAGAAGAGAAATCACCGTGAATGGAAAAAGCGTTGTTGAGTGACTTTATATAACTTACAAACTTGAGCAGCGTTCTGCCTTCTGTTAAAGTCAAACCATAAGCCCAAGGAAGTAATACCCGCATAATTTTTGCCATCGATGCACTGTTTGATGTTGTTGGTACAAGTTTGGTTTCAGAAGCTTTTTAAAATCATTGTAATGCAGGTTATATGATTTGTTTTGACTTCAGTGGAAAGCCAATACAGCTTGTACGGAGCTCTTGAAGTGCCATCAGACTTGTTCAGATACCGAGATAATTTTTCTTATTAAGTCGACTTATAAAGCGTATCAAGTCGATTTAACGAGATAAATGATGTAGTCAAGTCGACTTCCTAATTCCAGTTGGAATTCCCTATGTAAACTTAGCGAGATTATTTATATAGTAACGTCGACTCCCTTATTTGATCAAATGGCTTGCCGGGATAACTTATGTCATCAAGTCTGCTTTTGGAATTTTACGATGTAAACTTGCGATGTAAACTTGCGAGACAATTTATGTTGTCAAGTCGACTTTACAATTTTGGGAAGACGACTTGGCGACAAAATATGCAGTCCATCCGACTTCCTAATTCTGGTAGGTTGACTTGAAAAGATAATCTATGTTAGTGAGTCGACTTCCTAATTGTCGTATGTCGACTTGGCGAGATAATTTATGTCATCAAGTCTGATTCTAAAAGTCACTGTGTGGACTTGGCGATATAAATTATGTTGCAAGTTGACTTCATAATTCTAGTAAGTCAACTTGGCGAGATGATTCATGCCATGTTTTACACATGCAGTCATTAACTGACTACTCACAAGTGAACGTGAACTGCAGCGTATTTTCTCGCCAAGTCGACTTGCTGGAATTGGGAAATCTACTTGACAGCAAATTTATTTCGGCGAGTCGACATAGTGAGTTCTGGAAGTAGATTTGATGACATAAATCATCTTGCCAAGTCGACTTACTTGAATTATGAAGTCGACTTAATAACATATATTATCTGGCCAAGTCGATACAGGGAACTCTGGAAGCAGGCTTGCTTTAATTGAATATCTCGCGATGTCGATTAACTATAGTTAGGAAGTCGACTTAAATACATCATTTGTCTTGTCACATGTACTAATCCCCAAATCCCAGGGACCGATGTTTATCGATACAGTTCCAGAAGTGGAGCATAAATATTGTCCGTCGATGTCCTTAGATGATAGGTTTATGGCCTCCTGTGAAAGCAAACCCTCAGAAATGGAGAGGTAGAAAAAGTAAAATGAAATAAAAAACAAAACAAGTGGATAGAAAGCACGGTTAATGGTTTATTGAGCAGATAACGGGGTTGGATAATTGGTTTTTGTGGAAAATGTGTGCGAAAGGGGAAATGCTTTTCGTTGATACAAAACAGTTTCATCGAGTAGAAACTTGTGGAAACTAGTCATGCACAGAGATATTCCGGTGTTCAATTTTCCGTAACCATTGGCTCGAGCACCAATTATCACAGACATTGCTAAACAATTTCCAACAAACAACGTCCCTTTCTGCGTTTTCCTATCCGTCTTCTTCGCCCTTTCTTCTTTGTCATTGATGAATGTAACAGGAATTGTTTATTTTTAAAGACAGACTATAAATTTCACGTTGTTTTATAACTTGGGACATTCAAATGTCACTGTTCAAAATGAGATTATTTTCAGCCTATACTGCAACCACAAAATCTAGACTTCGTCTTTTTTATCTACCAGAAATTCACAGAGATACCACGATTAGTTTCTGTTTGAGTCTTAGTCATCTGTAGTTGATACTTTTTAATTAACCATGCTCCCATGCGAATAGCCCTGAGGTATCCTTGGTCAAGCACGTCACCCATCAGGTTTTGGTCAGATTTTAGGGGATGTAAGTAAATAAAAGTGAAGTGTGATTTCTGCAAATGCATCACTAACTGATACATATAAAACAACTGGTAAAAGGTGCACCTGTAAGGAAAATTAACCCAAACAGAGATTGGCGTTTGAGTGATCGGGCATGCGTGCATTTTATTAGACAATTCCATTTAAGTTGCGAATACCTCCATATCAAAAGTAGAAACCAGATCAGTTCTATTTGCTTCCACAGGAATACAAGGTATTTCAGTATCTCTTTATATAGGTGCGAGATACAAGTGATTTCAGACATTGATATATTGAAAAAAACAATTTAGAATTCCTGACAATGTCATTATGGCGTCATTGCATACGTCAAATGTAAGCCGCAAGGTAGTTGAAATTATGAGTAGACTGTCGCATTCTACTCAACGTTGAAACCGACTCTTTATAAATCAAATTTTGGGAATAAATAAAAATGCCACCTTCATCTTTACGTCATTTGAAGTCATTTTCACCTGTTTATTTATATGCAAATCACACCTTACACGTATATCTCATTGAAAATTGTCATGATTGGGCGGTTATATTAACGTGTCCAAACCTACAAATGACATAAAACCCAAATTGGTTATCACAGGTCTAATTATAGGATTTGCTGCCGTCTGTGGATTAGTTCAAGCTGCTAATTTTTGTTTTGGACTAATACTTAAAGGAATAAAATTGATTTAAAAATACTGTGTCTTGTTGTTTCTCTGGTTGTAATAGAACATTCAATAATGAGATGTCAAATCTCAGAAGAAAAACAGAACAAATTTTATCTCTATTAAAACAAATATGAGGTCCAACGGGTGGGTACACTTTCCCCAGATGTTTCACAGGGTGACTTGAGTACTGTTTATCGTTCTGGAACAGAAAAATCAGAATTTTGTGTCGGTAAACTTAATTTGGTTTACAGTGGACCTCTTTCAACCACGGGCTGCCCTTGCTACATGACCTTGTGAATCAAGGAACCAAAGTTCTTGTGTAATATTTTGCACTGTTGAGGATTTGAAAAATAAAAAACTCGTGGGTCGACCGAATGAATGATAAAAAGAGTCCAAACGCCATGGTTAACGCCCATATTTTTATTGTTACTATTTTGTGAAGGGAGTTTTCAGATGGCCTCTTTCCATATGGAATTTGTTCCAATTTTGAAAACATTACAGCTCTCTTAAATAGGACTTTTGATTTGATGACGTCCTCAGCATCAATTCTTACACACTTGTCTGCAGAAAGGTCCCAAAGGTCCCTGTACCAACCAGTTTTTAATCAATTATAGTAAATACCGCCGAACAAAAAGTGTTTTTTTTTTAATTAATTAATTGATTTTTTAAAAACTTTTTCCACCTTCGGTTAAGGCGGCACTCAATTATTTATTGACGTTACCGGTACATGTTTTGTGCAGTACTGTCCTGCAGGTTAATACCGTTGGAAGCAAGATTGATTTTTTAGATGTTAATATAAGTAACAAGGCACTTCCATTTTCACCTGAAGCAGGGTCAGAGGCTTCTACATATAAGACCACAAATGAAGGCCCACGTTCGTTCCATCACTTTACCAAACTCGCGTGGAGCAAAACTGTCCTTACGCGGAAGAAAATCTGCAGAATAGACTAGACTCACCTTCTTGGCTTTTCCCATTTTCTTGGGCTATTTAACATATTCATTTTGGGAGTGATTTAATTATTTACAGCCCTTTTTATATTGTTGACCACAGTAGTCCACATTCATGAAACTCTATTGAGCTCCGAGAAGCTATTACTGGGACCGTTCCCCAGGACGCCAATGATTCTGGGACTCGTGTGTCCAATGTAATGTCAAGGACCTGCTGCAATGCCTGGAATACCTGGGCTGCTAGTACTCTGGACCAATGGTCCTGTGCGGTCAGAGGGTGATGCTGGTTTCAAGGGTCAAAAGGCAATATTGTTCCGATTGGTGCTGTGGGTGAGTAGGGAGCTCCTTGGAACCCTGGGCGTTGGAATGGGTTTGCCTGATAATATAGGTCCTAGAGGACCAACTGGTTTCGTTGGTACTACCTGGGAAGTGCGGATAAAGGTCGAAAGGGCCTTTTGGTATCATTCACAGCGACGCCAATGAGCATATCGGATATCCGTACTAGTCAAAACACCCCTTTCCCATTCGAGCAGGCCGAGACGCTTTTGCCAGGAAACAAGTTTGATTTGACGACTGGCGAGTTCACATGTAATGTGCCAGTCACCTACAAGCAGGTATCTGGGAGCGCAGTGCTGTTGCTGCAGCGAAGAGACTTCACGTTTTGACCATGTACGGTTTTAGGTATAGTCATCGAAGCCTTCACCACACCCTAGTCGGTGCCTTTCTCCTGTACCCTAATTAAGTAAACGGCGATGATATGTTGCTGCGAAGTGTTTGCCGGATGAATTCAAAATGACAACAATATGGAACAGAAGAAAGTGCACTTCTGATTTGCATCTCGTTGTATTTATTGTTTTATTAATATTCTTTATCTACTTCTCAAAGGATCCAATGTGTCTCTTAAATTGCACCCGAACAACTTCTTGCTCTCTTGCTGTTAACAGCCATACCCAAACAATATACTATACTATATATATAATTGCATACTGACTTAAGGCTTAACGTGCTCGTTTCCCACAGCAAACTGATTGAAGATATTGTGACTTGAGTCTGAAATGTCTGTTATATTCCTGTTTTGATGCTATTGTAGCAAAGGGGAAGGTGACAGGAGTGCAAAGAAATGAAAATTGTTACGACTGTTAGGCTAGGGTAAACTTGGAGACTGTTAATTGCAGCCTGTCGGTAGTTGAAAAACTATGATTGGCAGTCTTTTTCAAAATAAATAGTAATCATGGTCAGAGTTGTTACACTAAATAATAAATGGTGTCAAACATCAATTAAAAATGTCCAACCCTCTGGCTTGAGTCTGTGGCGTACCTACTGGGAACGGGTGCCCCCACCGGATGCTTGTGCCCCAGTCCCCCATAAGAAATTTGTGATTTTTCCTAACGTTCGCTATCACTTTGTGCATTTGATTCAGAAATAGTTGCCAGTGGTGAAATATTGATAACTTTGACACTTCATACAAATTGGAAAAGATTTTTTGAACAAGGGGATTAATTAAACTTGAAAGTTTTGCTGTTTAACGGCTACTGACGTGTATTTATAGCAGGGATGGTTAATTTAGGCGTAGTTTCTTAGGTACAAGTTAACTCTCTGCTGAGTAGCTGTAAAGACTACTTAAAACTCTTTATGAAATTTATTTTTTGTTACCCTCACCGGGAAAGTTTTGCTGGAATTCAAATTGGCATATATGTGAAGGGTTGCTCCAGATATTGTTTATCGTGCTGACAATCATTAATTTTGAAAACTACAGTGCATAATATTCAGCTAACGATAGTCTGAATCAACATTTTCTTTAGAAAGATTTTGCTTTGTGCAAGTTTTATAGAAATACTTTAACTATAGCATACAAGCTTTGTGTCGGTTATACTTTAACAGACTTGAGAAGCAAAACATGCAGGTTAGTCTAAAACAATTTTGATGGAATAATTAAAATTGAAGTGTTTTCTCTAACGGTTGGTTAGTTAGGTCAACCTCTTTAGAAGTCAATGCATCCAAGACGAACATCCAATAGAGTCTTAAAAGGGATACGGACTTCGAAATTAACGCATGCATGGAAGCCGTTTCTCCATTGGACTTCATGGAAGTCAAGGCAGACTTTAGCCACTCTTATCTTAGGGACGCCTATGCAAATGGCCGGTGGTTCACGGGCTGAAATTGAAGTTAAATTAATTTAGTTTAGTCATAAATCGATGAACCCAGTTAATGCAAACAAGTTTAATTATGTACATATTTGTCAGTACCTAAAATCAGCTATTAAAATAACTGAGCAAATTGAAAAACAATCTTAAGTACATTATTTTTGACATAAACATTGTTTGATGACGAGATTATAAGTCAGGACGAGATAATAATGTCAAAAAGTCGGGTTAAAATTTGTCTCTCTGTGTTCTTTACTACATTGCACTGTCTTTCATGAAAGGGGGCTCGTTTTTTCCAGCACTGGTATGTATGCCAACCGGGGATCAAATATTTGAATTTTGACAGTGATTGCCATGACAGTAAGAATGACAACTTGCACCTCCCAGATACATTGTATTGTAAATTTTATTCAAGAAAGATAAAAATCCCTAAACGGTAAAATTCTACCTTCAATAACCCCCGCTTGAACCTGTGTGGGTATTGATAGGAAGAGCTACAGTAGTGGCATCCCTGACATTTAATCGTTGACTTTGTTTCATCGAAAAAAAATCCAGCACAAGGCATCTAACAATCCAAGATTTATCCAAGTCTTACCTGACACCTCTTTGTCGTAAATTATTCTACGGGCTGCAGTTATTTTGAGGTGAAGACCATATACCTTCTTAAGAACCTGGACGAAAGCGCAAGCTTGAATGAAATTGAAGATAAAAAACCCTCTTCACCCCATGAACCGCAAATAAGACATAAGAAACCCAAGGGGCAAATCTTTATTCAGAATGGTGAAGGATAAAAAAGAGATTACACTTTGATTATAGCAACTGGGCAATACACTCGAACCACTTACATATAATAGGTCAAACTTAATTGTTTTCATAAAAAACAACCGTTACAAAAATGAAGCAAACATCCAATAAACCATGTCTTTTACAGTCAGCGGATTTTGCTTTCCAGACGGTTCCTCTAAGGTCAGCGATGTCCATAGAATTTTGGGTATTCAGGCTAAAGCATGACCAATATAACGAGAAATGCAGATCGACCTTATGACCAATCGAGATAAAGTATCACTACAAACGAAAGTTAGTCTCACAGACACAATTGACATTAGAACTGATTGTAAGAATTGGATTTGGCTCACCGTCTTTTGTATATATTAAACAGCAACCAAGCCAAAAGGAGGAATGTGAACCAAGACGTCCATATCCATGCAAAAAGGATTTCAGCATATAAGACGGTTTGCTTAGCACGGAAACGACTAGTTTTTAAACTTTATGTTATGAAATCGTTGGCTCAATATTCTCATTTCTTTATAGCACCAAGTTATGGGTAAAATATTCCAAGCAAGCCTTACCACTGACAGTGTGGCGTTTCCAGAAGACCTTGAAAGAGAGTGTGGTGCAGCACTCAGCTGAGAGTGCTTCTCTAGATAGCGTGCATTTACCTGTAACTCCTTCACCCCTGACTTCTGACGCACTAACTACAAATCATAACAAGAAGAATTTACGTGAAAGTTGGACTGCTGTCAAATGTACAATTTGAAAATTGGAACTTACAGATAAAACATGCCTGGAAGTTTGTAATGTACGTCTGTTGGAGCCCCATGCAATTCAAATTGCAGGGCCAGGTCATGTGCACAAAAGGGAGGATATGTTGCCCAGCATTAATGAAAGCATTGCACCGCAACTGTAGGTTAACTTTAGAAACCACCAGGGATATTATGTATTTAATGAGATCAGGAAAAGAAACGGCAAAAAAAGTTAAAGGTCTTCTGTATTTTGGACATGTTCAACCGCTCTCCCGGTTTATTCACTTTTGCTTCTGAGCCCGCACTCTTGAACTTTCTCGTATCGAACCTTTAGAAATCATAACTCCTTATAACCAAGATTAATTGGCATACTGAAAGTTTATGTTAGTTGTCAATCACGCCTTTGTAAAATGATTTACAGTGTAAGACAAACTGTTACAAGTCTGTCTTTTGTTTGGGGGTTTTGAGAAAGAGGCGTGTTCAGCTGGAAGAATATTGTTTACAGGCGACTATTGTTGGTTGAGACTGCACTCAAACCAAGCTTAGTTTGCAAAGTTCAAAGTGGGGGTACGGGGCGACAAGCGAGTTTAGGTAGACCTGTGCATACTTGGGGCGTAACAGAAACTACCTTCTGTAGATGGTAGAGTCTCACATCATTTACAAATTAAAAGGTAAGTAGGTTAAAATAACTTCACCAAACTGAGAGTCGATAAGGAGAAACTTGGCGATTTCGTCTGGGGTCATCTCAGCCAAGTCCTCTCTGAACAGTTCCAACAGCTGCTCCTCCTTGGACGGCAGGACTTTGAGATCGGACTCCTGATTCACAAACAATCCACATGGTCAGTGGCGGAGATTTGAACTTGGAACAGGGGGAAGAAGGATTAGCGATGAGATATTTGTAAGGTGATGACTTGCCCAGCAATAGAAATCTGAAACCTTTGCAGGGTAGGCCTACTGACACTAACCACTGAGAAGCGATCTTCATTATACTTATGTTTGAAGTTAAAGTTTAAAATGTATTTCGCTCCTGCAGATCCTTACATCAATACGACATTTAAGCTATTTTAAAAATGTTATGAGTGCTAATGAATGCATTTTGGATCTCAGAGTTATCCCAAAGATGTTTACATTTGGCTGTAAACTTTATTGCTGCATGAAAAACTGCGGCGGAGTTGACTCAATAGCCAATCCCTGTGTCCAAAAGCGTGAGGAGATATATACCCCCATTTCCTGGGATGTGACCTATAAACGACCACGACTGAGCGTGTCACATTGAAAAGATACTTTTATCATTATCATTATTTTAAGTAGGTGGATAATGAGAACGAAAGGTTTTATTCTAATGCTGACTTTAAGATAGATTTCCTACACTATGGCAGAGGTGACGTTTTAATACTTTGCAACGGGCTGTTTGCAAACTCTTCTCATCCAGTCTTTGATGCATCTACCAGTGTCATAGGTGAAAGTGATCCCGGGACAGATAAGATGCTTATAAATGTTTCCTTATGGTATCCCTATGACTAATGTAAGTGATAATTTACATGTATTCATAAAACAAAACAGACGGACAATTAAAAATTTGAAAACTCCAAAAAGTGCTGAGCGTAATGTAGTGGCAAGAATTACTAGCGCCAGATAAGGTTGTTGAGGCCCGTGAGAATTGCTTGAATTGTCTGTTATATCTTTATGAAAAACGTTTTCCACAGTGTGAGCTCCAAAGTCGTTTTATGTCAAAAGCACCGTGGATAAGAGAAGGAATCTATAGTTCAATCAGAGAAAATAATTCATAATAAATCTGGCAACCTATAGTTTACAAAAAAGTTAACATACGTAACAACAATGGCAATTAAGAGAAAAATACTAAAGGAAGAAGGAAGCTCATCTATTCTTTGCTCTATTAGATTTCGTCCTATTTTAGGCAGAATTATGCTACCATTTGCTCTAAAATTAATATGATTAATTTATTGATTTTAGCAAGAAAATAGCGAGAGAACTTCCTCAATCAAGCAACGCATTTGAACATTTTTTTGGTAAAAGTGTGCACAATTTAGTTTTGCCCCTGTTACCGAGTTTCCAAAGTGCATAATGGAAATGCCACAGGTTACTCTGGTATAACTATTCGTGTCATTAAGTAATCTGGTTATGTCCTTTTGGAGCCCTCGTTCGTCACTGGTATTTTCCTGAAGTGTTTAAATTAATAGTAGTAACTATCATCAAATATGATACACAGATCAATAACCATGTTTTTCTATTTTCTGGCAGAAATAAAAAACAATTAAACTGCAGAACCGCTCGATGTATTTGATAAGCCAGCAAGATCTATTATCAGAAATCTCATTTTGGGCATTAAAAAAAAAAGGTTTAACAGTGTCAGCAATTATTAGTGTCTTAAAATAATAAACTGAAAACAGACAGTTATCCTTGGCGTATGCCTGTACCTGTCTCAGGCTCATGATACTGCAAATCAAGCCATTCGTATTCACACATTAGAGCAGTTTTGCATACGTGGAATCGCCTGAGAGGTCTTGGGTTACAATTTAAAATGTTATTTCTTCATGACTATGTTTTCCTTTTGCGTACTTAAATTGTTCTTTCCTGAGCTTTGACTTTTCTACTGGTAAGCAGTGTTCCAATGATTAATCTTCAGATTTATTGCCTGTTCCTTTCATCAAATAGCCTGCTCTTTCTTCAGTTTATCTTTAATGTTCCTGCTCTTCTAGAAGATCACAGTATGCTCTTTGTATCCACTTCCTTTAATCTCTGACTAGTACAGCAGTATGTACACTCCCTGTAAATTTTCAGGAGATCAGCAGGATGTTGGGACACTTAATCCCTAGTTGTTGTTCATACCTTACTCCAAGCTGTGAAAGCCATAAACTTCTGCTGAGTGCTCATCTGCCTAGATACTAGATGACCAATCAGTATTGGAGTCGTGTGTGGAACTTTTTAAGTTGTCCAATGAGAGCTTGAGCTAGTCATGTGGCAAAGACATGTTGTGGGGAGCAGTTTGCCCGAGAGTTTTGGCAAACTGGGCATTCCAAGCTTTGCCATTGTGCTGTCTACATGCCTGCCGAACTCTGTCTGCACTCTGCACTACTTTTCTTTGGACTGGCAGACTTCAAAATCCAAGTATTCCGCTTATGTTCACCAGTGTTGGCTCTCTATCTTAGGTAAGTTTGAGTTCCAATTTATATACTTTCATACTATTGTGTAACTTTTCTGGAATTTAGTTAATGTATTTTTCACTGTGACTCTTGTTCTAAATTGGGAAAAGAAGTTTACCGATCGATTACATGAAGTCTGGACTTTGGGATATTTTTTAGAAGTCCAAGCAGATGTTGAAAGTTTTGATATATGTATCTCGTAGTTTCCACAAGCCAGTACATTTCTGAGACTAGATCTAAAAGAGATGTTCCCTCAGAAAGCTTTGCCTGAATTAAGTAGGGCAGTTTGAGTGCACTTTTCAATCACCTTGACTAATAACTTAACGGAGACTGGGAATAGGTTGTGCTTGTCACTGCATTGAGACATATGAGCAGATTTTGAATATATGTGTAAGTCAGGACTTATCACCCATCACATCCATGTGCAAGTGATACACTGACCGCAGTCCTACAGTTTGGACCAATGATGTTGAAATACTTTTCCGACGACTATGGTTTATTCGAACAGGGTTTGTGTATACTTGGTAGATTCTGATATGCGTTGAATTCATCAGAAGTTAGAGATATGAATTGTCTCTTGGTCAAGGTTTAGATTTTGTTTTTATATATACATACATTGTATATAACCATTCTGATTAAGAGTTTGCGCTTTCCTGGATTGATTCCTACCTCACGATGTGTGGGACTGGGAAATGTATTTCCAGGAAAATCCTTGTCTAGTTTTAAGATTTTTCTAGGTCAATGCCTCAGATATTTCAACTTCACATGTTAATTTAACTTAACCAAGCTATATATATTGTGACTTGCAGACACAGCACAAATACACCAAGGCATCTGCGGCACTAATCACCAGCATCAACCTTGCAAGATCCTTAAGTATTCTTTTACGTTACATTTCTTCTGCTGAACTTTGCCCGTTACTTTTGCCGACTGCCTACACAACACAACGGACTCGTGTCATCCCACCTTGGAACGACTCGTCGCAACATTGGCGCCAAATTTTTTCTTGAGCACAAAGTGTGTTTTAACTTAGCAGGATCCTGCATTCTCTGTAAACCTCATATTTCCATTTATGGCCACTGGTGTTCTCTACATTTACTTTGTGTTTCTCGTATTGATTGGCTTAGCTCTTTCACTCCAATAAAGCAAAATCTCTTTGGTATCGTGAATGCTGAATTGTGTGAAATTTGGTCCCTGCTATTTTGAAATGTGAACCACAGGCTACATTTCATACATGAATGTTTTCCCTAGAATTTCCTATAGTCTTTTTACTTATGCAGTGAGTCTCTTACATAAGCATCATATTGTAAATACTTTAGCAATCCAAACACAGAGCTTGTAAAGGGAATGAATGGCTCCTGTCTAAAAGAATTCTCATTTAATTTAATTAACAAAAATTGCATGATAATTTTGGCACCGGACAAAAAAACTTAAACACAAAATACTTTTTCCCAGTTGGCGTTGTGCTCCTCTTAATCGGGTCAAAAGTCCCAGGTATTTAACTGGATAAGAATCTCTCTCTTGGAGTAAACATATTTACGTGTCGTGTGGTAAATTCTTCGAAATTGTTGTCGAAAACTGTACATTTAACTTTATTTAAAACACTTATTCTGTTCTACTAAATTAATCCATTCTGACCTAGGGTAGCCCAACCTCTTAATGCAACAAGCTGCTTATTTCACAGACGAAAGTTATCCAAAAATATCAAACACAGACCACTTAACTTATACAACTCCATTATTTGCAAAGTAAGGAATACTAAATATAAATTTCTTTTTAACATTTAAACTTGGGTAAATTTATGTGTGTATACAAACATGGTTTTTTACTGCGCTATTTGAATTCCTGTTTCCAATTACAGTCTTATCCCAAAATTTGGGTCCTTTTAGACAAACCGATACGGATCTGGCAAGACTCTCAACTCGACATATTTTCACTTATAAACCTACCTTGTCAGTTTGCATAATGAAAATTGGTTCATGTAATCATGTCAGTCTACTTTTACTGTCTTACTGTTGTGTGTCCCTGCAGCGTATCATGTTGTATTGTCCAATATCTCCTATCTTACGTTTATGGTCTGGTCTGAATTATTGTTGGTGCAAAAGGAAACCTAGAAGCACAAGTATTCTTTTTTTCTAAATGTTGGTAATAAGTCAAACTATGTCCATTTATCACACCAGTTCTCATTAATTGTAAAAACATTCATTGCATATAGGCAATTCATATATTTGGGACCTCTTTCGTCGCCAACATGAAATAAATGCATCTTACAGTATGGGGCAAATTTGTTGTTGTCGGGGGATGATTAAAATTTCTTCATACTATTTGATCGCACTTGTTTGCACAATTTATCGCACTGACAAGTCTTCCAAATGTTGCCTAGTCGGGCTCATGAATCTTCTCAACCCGCTATAGCGCCAAAACTACGAATAGTGTGCATTTGAAAAAAAACAACACTTGTGGCTGATTAATCAAGCATTTAATATGACACAGACTTGGCAAATACAACGGTTAAAGATGTTCTGTGCCTTTTAATTTGCAAAAGTATAAATATTATTGTGGCACACATATACGACGCATAAAATGGTAACATTTTTGCATCTGACTTTCTTTTGCAACGAGCATCACCTTAATTCAAAGGTGCTTTAGATTTTGATTTAACTTTTTCGTTGGCAATTACAACAAATGTGCAATGTTACACGCTGAAACTCTGTCTTTTACTGTTTACCCTTCGGTGATTGAGTATTCATTTTCATTTACTGTCATGCAAAGTTGAACATTCAGCATTCCATTGGAGTTAAGTACACAAGCTTAAACAAATCATGACACAACTTTGCTGACGAATGCAGGCAGGACAAGACTAGTGTAAACAGTTATATTAGGCCTGCAAACAATTTTGGCCTACATGACAGTGTAGGGTTATGAAATTGCATGATTAGAATCTACCAAAACACAAACCCAAGTAATCTTTTTGCATTGTTCAAAATATAATCTATAACAGTTTTGCAAATGGATCTAACGACTGCTTTGCTTCTCCGTTGTTATGTCTGCATTTAAAACAGGTTCTCTCTATCTCTTTATAATTTTTAGCGATCGATGATCTGTCTTCCAAGGCACCTAGGTACGGGTGCATTAAACTGTTCACTTTCCAGCTGATCATTTCCCAGCTGTTCCTTTCCCAGCTGTCACCTTAGCAATGTTTCAAATGACTGGTTCAGCTCAATCATCATGAATATTTAAATATGTAAACATTAATTAATTTCAAGGAATGTAACTTTTGATAATACTCAGATGAATGCCAATTCTGTACCTAACATACCTTAAAAACACAGATTTGTGCGAATTTGCGTTCACATTTAGCGAAATGGGTTGATTCCAATTTAAAACAAATGAGGAGGAAACACGGATTCTTATTAGTAAAGCCAGTTATGAAGTAATGGACCAATGCCCAACCAACAGAAACTAGCACACTCCACCAACCCCCATTGTAAGATGTAACAGTGGCTTAATAAACGTTGTTAGTCTACTCACCATTAGGGCCGAAGCTGAAACCGTCACCAACGTGGCTGCAAGAGCCATCAGCTTCCACATGGTAGTCATTCTCAAAATCTGTGAAGTCAAGTCTTTGAATGGAAATGGACAAAATGGCCAGGTGTACTCGATCGAGAAAATCACCGTGAATGGAGAACTCGTTGTTGAGTGACTTTATATACCTTACAACATTTAGAAACCTTCTGACTTTTGTTACAGCTAAACTATAGGCCCAAGAAAGTCATATCTGCATAATTTTGTCATCGACGCTCTGTTTGATTTGATGGTGCTCTTTAATGGTTTCAATTGCAAGTCCAAAACATACAAAAACTTTATTCGGTTTTTTGAGTTACAGTTACAGTTTATGTTACAGGATTGTTTTTGGACTGCAGGGGAAATCCAATGCAGTCTGCACAGCAAGGCCTTGGTCAGCACTTGAAAAGACAGACAGACGCTATAAAAGTTGGGGCAGGGTAATAATTAACGCAGTAGTTATACCATACCTGCAGAAACTGGCTAGAAAAGGACAACTACTGCCTTCAAAAACTTTATTAATAAATCTTCTTAGTTAGCATTCGTTAATGCTGTCCCGAGATCCCAGGGACGGATGCTCTCGAATGTGGTTCCAGAAGTGCAATGTACATATCGTCTTTGTTTTTAGATGGCATTTTTACGAACCCTTCCGAAAGCACACATTCAGAAACGGTTGTAATCAAAATCGTTGGGAACCTGCTGGTACTGGAAATTGAGAGTGCACCTTAACGAAGCACCCACACAGAGGAGACTGTATAGGAACCTATATTCAGAAATCTGATGGGCACAAAGTAGAAAATTGAAATCAAAAGAAACAAACAAGTGGAAAGAAGAAACACCGTCTAATGGCTTATTGAGCAGATTACGTGGTTGGATAATTAGTTTGGGTGAGAAATATGTGCAGATTCGTTTCGTTTGTACAATGCTGTCTGATTTAGTAGAAATATGTGGAAACTAGTCATGCACAGAGACGAACATCTTTAATGATTTCAGTGCAAATAGACAAAGCACTTCACCATTGCACTAGGTATTTTTATACACCCGCTGGAAATCAGCACTGTTTTCCGTACCTTTGGAAGCCAGAAAGTGTCGTTGGCGTCAAAAATACAATTTTCTCCTTTTCAGCATGGTTCTCAAAAGACTAAAACGAAATAACTATCTCCTCACCAGAGAAGGCTTGGAATGGAATGAAAATATATAGTAAATAGTAGTTTGAGGGAGTCTACGCCAATTCGGACAATCATTAACTTTAAAAATGAAAATAACACTTGTTCTAAATTTTAATTTTAACACTAAAGGATTGGGACATGTTTTTACCCCTTCCACAATTTTAACCAATTAATTCTTTTAAGGAATCGTCTTGCTGTAAACATTATTGTTCTTTTTATTCAAGTGCTTGCACTTTGGTCTTAAAAGGAAACAATGAAGTAGTACGGACAGTATCTACTCGGTGAGGCTTAATTTGTAGTTTATTGACCAGAAATGAAATAAGTAAATTGGACACAAATACAAATCTGAAACAAATAACATTTTAGATAATTCAGAAAAGTGCGATTTCCATCATTATATGCTACATTTTATTTCCTACTTTATACGCAGCTTGTAAAGATTCAACCTTGTATTTCTGGTTTCCATTGTTTTTTGTCAACTTCAAAGTTTGGTATCAGCCAGGCGATAGCATTACTACTATTGTTTCAGTCAGGGTCAATCATTTATTAAAGTGAGCTGGATACAAGGTTTTGGATGACAGTCAAACTGGCTGGTTTATTGTTCCCAATCTCTTTCATTGCTTAGTTTGGTTGTGAAACAAGGAGAAGTGTGTTGTCTTAGCAAAATGGTGTAACACTGAAGTGGCGAAATTAGTTACTTATGCGGCATGCAGGTTGCAGTCGGAAAGAGTGAACACAGCACAAGGGCAATGCTATGGGATCAACAGCTGGACCAGACCAGAAGTGTGTTCCGAACCACTTTACTGATCGAACTAGAATGTGGTCAGCACATGACAGGGTCGAGGCACTGAACCATTTGTTAAATGTAGTCGAGAGGTACTTGCCCTAAAGTAGAGTGTCTGTAGGGGCAACAGTGGATTTCTGGCAGTAAATGGTTGTACATATGCGAAAGGGTGAAGCAGTCACAAACTATAGCGAGGCAGAAAAGAGACCGATGACGTGGAAGGAAATCCTAGCGAGTTCTGGGACTACACTGTAAAACGAAAAATGTATAAATGTTTTTAACGCCGTTTTAAATGCCCTCTTGTTCAAACATTATGAACGCTTTGCAGTGTTAGGTGTTATGTTTTAAAACAAACACGTTTAGTTATTAATATCAAAGTTGTTTAATTTCAAACGTTTACAGATTTACAACCAAGGCAAAGACGCGTTTATATTAGGCGTTGGTTGTACACGGTGTCGCATTCTGAGGGTGGTCAAAGAAACATCAGGATTTGCTTTGGTTTATGTAGAGACAAACAGAACGTTCCGAGTTTCCAGTTTGTTAGCAAAAGCTGTCAATCACTTCATCTCCCTTGCTCCCTTGACTTGCTTTCCCACGAGTGGCGTAAATCTGTGTTGGAAATTGATGGGATTGGGAAAGGATGTAGGAAGACTTGCCCTGCCATGGGAATTCGAAAAGCAGGGACGGGGGCGACACCATAAACTAGTTTCGTCCGTTTTATATGAGTTTTGTCGTATATTCATTAAATACATTATCCACTCATGAACACGACCAGAGAAACGAATTTAGAGACAAGTAGACACCCCCATTAAAGTTTTTCTTTTACTCTTCTGTCTTCATTTCTTTTTAAAATTCAGAGTTAGCTTATATAGGCTACTTTCAGTTTAATATCAGTGTTAAATCTTCCCGTTATTAAACATTCTTCTAGTATAACTGAAAAGAAGAAAATTCATGAATAACTTTACTGAACAAATATATTGTTTAGAAACTTACTAATTATTTAAAATAATTTCCCACGGTGAAAGAGGGATTTCGAAAAGTGAGTTTGCAATTCCAAGGCTGAAAACATGGCCTTCAATTAAAGAGACAGAGGTTTGTGGTTGCTACGTTAGCCACTCGCCAAACTTGCTTGTATGTGGTGTTAAACTCTTGAATTATCAGTTACTATGCAGATATACCTGGCTGGCCAACGCTGGTCAATGGATAAAATTCATCTCGCAGATTAAATAGCAGTGCAACGCTTTGTAAAATAGACAACAGTAAAAACGACTGAGAGGAGTAGATTATTTTATTTGAATCCAATGGATTTTCTGTCGTTTCTCCTTAACAAGATGTAAGTTTAACAATTAAGACGAAAACCTCACAACTGTAAATTTGGATTAGGCTAATGCAAGAGGATCATTTATGAAAACATGGCAATAAGCACATGGCAATTGCATATTTTCCTATTTGAAAGCCAGAACTCTTCGTTTTGTTTTAAATTTGAACATGACTAAACACAATATAGGGGTTAAGGATATTGGGTTTTAGAACAAAAAAGCTACAACAAACATTCCATGCACTTTGCAAACAGAGGCACAAAAAATGTGACATGCTGCCACAGCCACACACTCGGGGAAAATCTTCAAAAGAGAAAAAGCGAAATTGATCAGTTTTTAAATTTGCATTTTCTAAAATCACCACTGATTGCAAACGAAACACTGGAATTAAAACTTGCAACGTTTGTTGCAAACTGCAGATGTCTTAATAAAATATACGGACTTGCAGTGCCTTTCCGCCGACTGAACCCACAGGTGGCAATTTCATCGTGCCGAATACAAAAGCGATGGTTGGCTTGCTGGCACTGCAACTGGTCATTCCCTAAACAAATTTGGTTAACAGTGGCAAGAACGCTTTTTTTGCTCTGTATTTGGAATTGTAAAATGGCCACTGGTGGCTTCAGTGACCATTGTGCGCTGATTAAGGGAATTGCAGGTACAATTTTTCTTTTTTAAAATGAATTCCGTTGTACAAACACGTTGTTTCTTGATGCGCGTATTAACTCACCAATGCAAGGGGCACCACCCACTGTATTATCACCCATAAGTGATTCTCAAAGACACGCATAGACCACCAGATCCTATTTGAATCTACAGGGGTACTCTATGATCTGCGCGGTGCCCTACTAAAATAAAAACCATAGGCAAATTTACCCCTCGGTATAGGGAATTTACGCACAGTTGAAGAATTCCAACCTTAAAATTGTATGAAGCAATTTTGTTTCCGATTGTTAAAAAAATCCTGTATTTACTTAAACTCACCTATGTAGATTGACCTAGATTGACACTTGACAAGAAGGCAAAACAGTACCAAAGTTCAATAAAGTGAACGTATTTTGGAGCTCATGTAAATAAATGCAGACAGTGAGCGTGCGCTGCCATTCATCATCTCGCCTATTATTTGCCCATACTTTTCAAAATCCTAGTTATACGCGCAAGAATGGTGGTATGTGGTTTATACATCTGTGGTAATTCTACGTGATTGTCATCGTGGTAACGCCCATGGAAATACGTTAACAACAGCGCCAAGAAACCAAGGTATTAAGCTTCCAGTCTTCCAGGCAACAAATTGGCTGGCATGGGCGAGCGTTTCTTCCTGTCTTTAGCTCTTCCTGAGTTGTGCCATCCGTCCCTTTGCGGAAAGCCAGCGGGCGTGCTTGAACACGGCAACGATGAACCGTTTGGTTGGAAAATTTAGAAAAACACCCAGCCGTCATTTTGAAATCAACAGCAATTTTCCCAAGACAGGAAATTTGTACTTTTTCACCGTGTGGCCCAATGCACACAGGGTGGTACGCATGTACCCTTGAGCTTCAAAGAACAAAAAAAAATAAATAAATAAAAACCCACAATAAACCAGCTGGTTTATTGTTAGTAAATTGTTGACCCTGAGTGAATAAATAATAAGAATGCTATCGCCTGCCTGATACCGAAGGGAACGCAAAAGTATACAACAATGTGGAATAACTGCCTTTTACGTTGACAAAAACGATGAAAAACCAGAAATATGAGGTTGAGTCTTTACAAACTGCGTGTAAGTAGGAAATAAAACGTAGCATACAATCATGGAAATCTCACTTTTTCTGAATGATCTCAAATTCTATTTGTTTCTGATTTGTAATTGTGTCCAACTTACTAATTTAATTTCTCACCAGTAAGCTACAAAGTAAGCCTCACCAAGTAGATAATGTCCGTGCTACTTTATTGATTTCTTTTAGAAATCGAGGTGGAAACACTTGAATAAAAGGAACAATTTTTACTTTTTTCAGCGAGACGATTCCTTAAGAATGCCTGGTCTCTTCACTGGACAGAGTTGAGTTTATTAGTTAAAATCTGAGCAGGGGTAAAACATGTCCCAATCGTTTAGAGATAAAATTATTTATAATTTAGTGTTATTACAAATAACACTAAATCATTAATAAAGTGTTATTTTCATTTCGAAAATTAATGTTTGTCTGAATTTGCTTAGACTTTCTCACACGACTATTTACTGTGTCATTTTATTCCATTCAAAGCCTTCATTTCTGTGGAGGCAGTTATTTCGTTTTTGGCTTTTGAGAACCATGCTGAAAAAGAGCAAGTTGGTTTTTTGACGCCAACAACATTTTCTGGCTCCCAAAGGTAGGGAAAACAGTGTGATTTCCAGCGGGCGTATAAAAATACAAAGCGCAATGGTGAAGTGATTGTCTATTTGTATTGGAATGATAAAGATGTTCGTCTCTGTGCATGACTGGTTTCCACAGATTTCTACTAAATCAGACAGCATTGTACAAACGAAACGAATCTGCACATATTTCTCACCCAAACTAATTATCCCACCACGTAATCTGCTCAATAAGTCGTTAGACGGTGTTTCTTCTTTCCACTTGTTTGTTTCTTTTGATTACATTTTTTTTTACTTTCTGCCCATCAGATTTCTGAATATAGGTTCCTATACAGTCTCCTCTGTGTGGGTGCTTCGTGAAGGTGCACTCTCAATTCCCAGTACCAGCAAGTTCCCAACGGTTTTAATTACACCTATTTCTGAATGTGTGCCTTCGGAATGATTCGTAAAAAAATGCTATAAACATAGACAATATGTACACTGCTCTTCTGGAACCATATTTGAGAGCATCTGTCCCTGGGATTTTGGGGCAGGCGTAACGAATGCTAACTACGAAAATTAATTAATAAAGTCATTGAAGGCAGTAGTCGTCCTTTTCTAGCCAGTTTCTGCAGGTATGGTATCATGACTGCGTTAACTATTAGCCTGCCCCAACTTTTATGATGTTGTCTGTCTGTCTGTCTTTTCAAGTGTTGCCCAAGGCTGAGCAATGCAGACTGCATCGGCTTTCCCCAGCAGTCCAAACAAATCCTGTAACATCAATTAAAAAGAACCAAGTAAAACTTTTGTATGTTTGGGACCTGCTATTGAAACCAAAACTGCACCAGCTAATCAAATTGTATTGATAAATTCCATTAGCCTATAGTTTTTCTGTAACAAAAGTCAGAATGTCTCTAAAGTTTGGAAGGCATATAAAGTCACTCAACAACGAGATTTTCATTCACGGTGGTTTTCTCTTTCGAGTATACCTGGCCATTTGGTCCATTTCCATTCAGAGACTTGACTTCCCAGATTTTGAGAATGACTACCATATGGAGGCTGGTGGCTCTTGCAGCTGCGTTTGCGCCAGTTTCATCTTCGGCCGGAATGGTGAGTACTGACTAACAAAGCATATTAAACCACTGTCACATCTTAAAATGGGTGGTGGCGGGGGCGGTTTGTTTATTTCTTTTTTCTAAACATTGGTCCAGTACTTCATTACTGCTGTTAGTAGTATTTTACATCAGGGTGGCGATCAACTCTGTTTCCTCCGACAATTTGAAAGATGTGAACATGAATGCCCTCAACCCGATATGCACCTCATTTGTCTAAAAATGGAATCAACCTTTTTGCTCTAGATGCAAGCGATTTTACGCCAAAGTGTGTTTTTAAGGTATGCCAGGTCAAACATAAGTATTCATTAGAATATTAACAAAAGTTACATTCTATGATAACTGTTTACTCATGTCCTGCTTGCAGTCGTTATCAAAGTTGTGTCATGATTTGTGTAAGCCTGTTGTAACCCACTGTGCTTAGTTAGTGCGCCCTCTTGCGATATTACAATAGTCATGCATCCCACTTCACATTAACGCGTGCAATAACTGCCATGTTCCTGATGTTTTGCAACACTTCTGACAAAAATATACAAACAATGATCCAAAATCAGCATGTGTTATGATGGCGTAATCTCCAATTTATCCAGCAAACTATATTGATCCTTTTCATGTGACCATTGGCTCTCAGGTGAGTTTATAAACAATGACCCTACAAAAAATCGCCAACTTCTCCTTGTCGACTTTAATTCCGGTGAAGTTATGTTTACCTAGTTACTTTTTAACTGGTAATTGATCTCAGACTCTCTCAGCTACAATAGCTGATTTTTGTAAGCCTCAAGGGAGCACAGTTCCAACCACACTCACTTGTGGCCCAGTACCCACACTTTGAACTTTGCAAACTAAGCTTAATTTTATTGCAGTCTCAATCAGCAATAGCTGGCTTGTAAACAGTCTACACTGTACCTAATAATGCATTTAACAGAGGCTTGTCTAACCACTAATATAAACTTTCATTTTTGAATTAATCTTGGTGACCAGGAGTTCTAATTTCCAAAGCTTCGATACGAAAAAGTTCTAGAGTGCGGGTTCAGAAGCAGAACTGAATAACCCGGGAGAGGGGTTGAACATTTCCATTTTGTTACAGAGGACCTTTAACTGTTGTTGCGTTTTTCCCCTTAAATGATTAAAAACATAATTTTACCTAGTACTTTCTACAATTAACCTAAACTTGTGGGGCTATGCTCTCATTCATGCTGGGCAACCTATCGCCCCTTTTGTGTGCATGACCTGGTCCTGCAGGTAAATTGCATTGGGCTCCAACAGATGTACATTACAAACTTCAAAGCATTTTATATCTTTAAGTTCCCATTCCCAAATTTGACAGCAGTCCAACTTTCACGTATATTCTCCTTTTTATGGTTTCTAGTTAGTGCTTCACAGGTCACGCGTGAAGGACTTTCAGGTAGATGCACGCTATTTAAACAAGTGGTGCGCTACATTGTCTTTCAGGATCCTCTTCACACGCCACTATGTCAATGGTAAGGATTGCAGCTTGTAGCTAAGAAAATGTTGGATACAAAGAATCAACCTTGGGTTAACATTCATGCCCAACAACACACGAACCAAACAATGACGAGCCATCGTAATATTGGAGGCACTTGAGAAATCAACAAAAGTAACCTTGTGTAAGACTTCGGGTGGTCAAGATGTTCAAGCAATTTTTGTAGATAAACGAGGGTAGCATCTTTGACACCACGATTTTATTTGGATCTAACATAATTATCAAGTGTTTCATTCAACACTTTATCCAGGAGTAACCTCTCGAAGTGTTTCACAAAATTTAATGTTAGTGTCACTGGACGTAAATCATTTGGCTCCTGAATGTTAATCCCCTTTGGAATTGGTACAATTATTGATGTTTTCCATAGTCTTGGAATATTGCCAGAATCCAGACCGATTTGAAAAATCTTACAGATGGGGCTAGCTGTTGACTACAGAACTTGAGGACTTTGTTACTCATTCCGTCGGGGGCCAGATGCCTTATTTACCTTAACCCTTCCATAGTTTAAACCATGAGGCCATGTTATGCAAGCCCGTGGTTTTTTAAATTAAAAATACGCCACTCTAACATCGATCGCCATCAGAAGCTTCACAAAATATGCCTTCGCAAGCTTGCAGATATTAATAAAAATACCGATGACCAGGTTTTGGGCTGAGAGTGGGCTCCAGGAGCAATAACCGACATCTCTTCCAGCAGACCGAGCTTACTATTATTATTGTGACCTGACAGAGGGCGCTAGTCACTAGCGCGGTGCGAAGTTATAGATGGTGCTCTTCCCTGTAACAGAGGCAGATGTTAGGCGCGTATAGCTGTGTCAAGCGAGTGCAGCGCATAGGCTCCGCCTTATGCGTAGTGCGATAGGGCAGCAAAAGTCACTGCTTGGTCACGTGAGCGCGTGCGCGGTCACAGCAGCGCAAAGGCTATAAAAGGCGCGCTTAGCCAAAGCCTAGTCGTCCCGATCAAGGGCTGATCCTAAGGTGAGGGCCAAGAATCCTGTGCCAGGGTTTAGTCACCTAGCCTAGTGTGACTGTGCCTAAGTTCCGAGTGGTGCGTGTGTTGCTGAGGGGCTCGGTAGGTTGAGGGGCTGATTGGTGGTGCGGTATAGTTCCTGATAGGAGCTTGCAGTCGATGCAAGGGCGGATTGCTATCCCGTGACGTGAATTGAGTGTAGCACATCAATGACAATAAGCTCCGTAGATTTGCTAAAGTCCCTGATTCGGCACTGGATGCCCACAATTAATTGTGGTGTTCGCTGCTCTGGGCGAAGTCCGGTCACGTATAATCACACAGTCTCCCCGTCAATAGCGCCTTCTGCTGGTATATGTTTCTAGGGTAAGAGTATGTCTTTGTCTTGAGATCTGGTTTGAATTAATAAATAGCGGGATTAGTGACTCGGTCCGATTTGAATATAATTTATAGGCAATAACGTATTAAAAGACCAATACGATTCCTTAAATCAGCCAAACTTAATCCACCTTAAGGCCATTCATTCTAAATTAACATCGAATAATCTTGTAAATAATAAGCAGTATTTGTAATTTTTCAAAAAGAAAATGCAAATATTAACTAACATGTAAATAGCTTGAGAAGGACTCTGGACATATATTATTAAATTGCCCACGAAGTTGTAGGTACAATAACTGATTCCTATATTTGTGTGCTTTAAGCATGGGGAAGTTGTGGCACTCACCCACTGGCTTGAATCAGTGGCGTAACTACCAGGGGACACGTACCCTGAGCAGATGCCTGTGCCCCCATTCCCAATTGAATCTGTACATTGTCTCCGTTCAAATGCGGCAGCAGCTAATTTTCATATGATGCCACCTGGTGCTCTCTGACGTTTAACCCTAGTTACGCTACAAGGCTCGAATGCGACAAATCTGCACATTGAATAAAACAAAATAGCAAGCGGTGAAATATCTTTGACTTTGCTAAATGAGCCTTAGATAACGGGTGGAATTGCTTCGAACAGGAGAGGTTTATTTAGCTTGAAATATAGTTTTTCAGGCCAGTGACGTGTATTTTTCACAAAGCTGGTTAACAGTCGTTTCTTTCATTGTTACAAGATGAATCTCCAAAGTGTCGCTCCAAATACTTCTTTGTCTAAAGTTGTTTTTCGTGCTGAAAATCATTGATTAAAAAAAATTATATTTATCCAAACGCTAGCCTGAACCCACAATTTTCTCCCAAATGATTTAGCTTTGTGCAAGGTATCATTTAACAAAAAAAATAATAAATTAATTTAAAATAATTAAATAGCATACACGCTTTATGCCATGTACATGTACACTCTAAAAGCTTCTAGCAGGAAAGCATGCAGGTAAGTCTAATCTAATTCTGCCGGATTAATTACAATCAAAATATTTTCGTAGACGGCTGCTTAGCTGGGTCAGCCTCTTTAGATGTCAATGCATCCCAAGGTAACTTCAAATACAGTCTTAAAAAGGACATGGACTTCCAATGCAAGGCATGCGTGAAAACCGCCTATAATTTGGACGTCACGGAACTCCAGGCAGAGTTTAGCCAGTTTCACTTTAGGGGCGTCTACACAGATTGACGGTAGTTTAAGAGCTGCAGTTTGGAGACAAATTAATTTTTCTAATCAGAAATCAGTGAGCCTGGTGAACGCTTTTGTCTTAAACACTCTAAGAAGTCTAGCTTATGTATGTTTTGTTGGTACCTAAAATCAGCTATTAAAATAACTGCGCTATTTTGATAACTATTCAAAGTATAGTCATAGTTTGAGATAAACATTGACAAGCTCTGATTGCTTTTGAGAAAAATTGATAACTTGCACCTCCCCAGCATAACCTGAAACTACTAACTTTCATCTCATTCTACGAAATGATGTCCATTTTATTTTAGGAAGAATATGGAGGACTAAAAGTGGCCATCTCCTTTTCTGCGGTCAGAAAGGTAGAAAAGCAGATTACATGTTCTTGTAACATGCAATTTCGACTTTTTGTACTTTTCTGCCGAATCAAAAAGCAGAACAAACATTGTTTGGTTATGCATTTTTCTATTTTTCTGTTTTTTTTTTACTTCAAGAAAAGCAGATAGATTTTACTTTATCTTCAGTTGCAGGCCGCCGAAAAGCGGCAATCTGTTTTTCTCCTTTCGAGCAGGCAGAAATGAGGATCGAACGTTTCGACAACAACCGTGAATTCTAATTTGTTGCTTTTTTCATACAGGAGGAGCAATTTTACGAAGGCGGACAAAAAGTGGGCATCGGCTTTTCTGCTTTCCAAGGACGGTAATCGGGGTCGTGAACCTCAGGTTATGGCCATATCCTTTCTTCGGGATTGAGGACATATACACCAATAATTACAGTCCACCCTATCATTTATGATGAAAGATTCACGTTTTCCTTGGCCTAAGCATGCTTGTGTGTCTATTGGATGAAAGTTTTTAAACTGTATTTCCTTTGAGATGCTGTTTTCTCTGCCTCACAGGGACATTGATACTGCCGTATGGGATTGGTCCGCAGAAAACAT